TTTACAAAAACTTCTTTAGTTTTAAAAAATATACATTTTTTTACTTTTTTTTAAAAAATCTTAAGGAAATAAAACTATGACCTCTTATTTTGATTATATCTTTATTAATAAGAACTATTCACACTTGGCTACAAAACTAAACACTCTTTATAGTAACTTAGATTACAATTTAGTGAAATGTATTTTCAACTTTTAACAAACCTTAAATAAACCAACAATTTGAAAATTTGATAAAAGAACTCTTATAAACATCTTTCTTAAAAAAGATCTAAAAAAAGAGCTTCAAAAAGCAGTAAATAGCAATATTGGAATTTCATTAAGATTTAGCTCTAATTAATTATTAGAGCTTACAAAAAGCCCAAGGCAACTGAAAACAATATTATGAAGCTCAATAGAAAAATTATATATCTTAATAAAAAATTAGCTAATAACCTATCTAATAACAGTTTGCAAATACAAGCAAATGATTTAACTTATTAACTGCAGAAAAAACTTAAAACATAGCATAAAAATAGCAGATATACTCAAAAGCAAAATGGATTAAACAAGAAGAAAGATTAACTAAATATTTCTTTGCCAAATACAAAGTAAGAAAAGCATATGCAGCACTGTTTAAAATAAAAATTCCTAATGCATTAATACAAAATAAAAATAATACTTTTTAATATATTAAAGACCAATATGCCAAATCTATAATTAAGAAGAAATGAATTTTAAAAACATAAATAAAATTACAAAAAAAATTAAGCAGTTTTCAGATTAACAAAACATTTCACTTATGAAAATCTTCTTAAAAGAAAAAATTACAAAAGTGATCAAAAGGTTTTTAAACAACAAATCTTCAGAAATTAACAATCTCACATATAAATTTTACAAATATTTTGAGAAGGTTATTATTTCTATTCTATAAAAGGTTTTTAATGATACTTTATTTACTAACAACATGTCTATCTTGTGAACAAAAAGCCTAATCATCTTAATACTTAAAAAATTCTCAGAGTTGAATAATTTTAACAACTAAAGACCAATCACTCTAGTAAACTGTGTAATGCCAAAATTTTTATAAAAATCTTAACTAACAGGCTTAATGAAATATGTAAAAACTTAGTTTCAAACTATTAGCAAGGCTTTATAAAAAGCAGAATTATAATAAATACAATACTAGATATACTAATAATTATGAGAAACTAGCAAGACAATATTAAGCAAAATTTGCTGCTTTTGGTAAATCAGCAAAAGGTATTTGACTATGTCAACCACAATTATCTCTTGAAAATGCTAATAAAAATAAACTTTAACTTCAAATTCATAAAGCTAAACAAAACCTTATTCACTAACCAAGAGGCACACATCACAGCTATAAGCAAAATATTAGTCTTCTTTAGAATTAAAAAGAAGTCCAACAAGGTAATCCTCTCTCACTCCTTTTATACATATTGATCTTTGACTTTTTGTTGCAAAAACTGAACAGAAAACTTCTAAAAATCTAATTAGAAGACATAGCCTTCAAAGCTTTAACTTATGCAGATGACTTTATATTAAAAATTGAATTCAAAGCAGATTAGAATATTATTAAAAAAAACTTTATACTTTTATAAAAGAACTTAAATGCAAAAATTAATTAAAACAAATCTAAACTAATTCTATTCACAAATGCAGCTTAAAGACTTGAATTAGTGAATGAAGAAAATCTTAAAACAATATTAAAACAAGAAGCTTTTACTATTTTGAGTTATAAAGTCTATTTTAATGATCTTCCAAAAAGAGACTTTTGGCCTTTTACAATTAATAAACTTAAAAGCTTTTTTGAAAAACTGACAAGCAAAAACCTTTTGTTTAAAGACAAAATGCTTTTAGCAAACTTATTAATTTTGTTTCAAATCTGAAACACAGCATATCTACTTTCTTCAAGCAACAAGTATATTACAGAAATCAATAGCATAATATTTTTTTAGATTAAAAGCAGATCTAAAATATTCTTAAGATTTATAGTATTTTAACAAACATATAATGCTGCAAGACTGCAAGCTCTAATAATAGAAAAAATGCTTAAAATACAACTACTTTCATATGGCTAAAGCTATTTTTGAAAATTTATTTTTAAACTAAACTAGAAAAAAAATAAGTAATAAATTAGAGCTTAAAGAAAATATATTAGTACATATTGTTTTAAATACTAAAATTATTAGAATCAAAGTCTAGTTTAAAGAATAGAAACTCTACCTATTTGCTTAAAAAAAAGCTTATAACAAAATAAATATCTTTTTTAATTAGTTATAAAGCAAAGAAAATCTATATTTAGGTGACTTCAAAGTGAATAAATTTTCAGTTAAAAAATTTTAAACTTTTGAAAAACTTAACATTTACTAAACAATACTTTTTAGTTTTAAACATCTTTAACAAACAATAACTAGTTTTTTATCGCACCAATAAATAAAACAATAAACACATTTTGGAAAACATATCACAAAGCATTATCTCTAAGTTACTATTTAAAATATATGAACCCTTCAATTAACAGAAGTTGCCTATAGCGTTTTGAAAAGTAATAAACAGTAAATCACTTTGTTATTTATTATAAAACAAGCAAAGAGGTTTGAAACAAAATATACACTTTTTTATAAACAGGTATACAAAAAACACCCCTATTCTTAATTAAAGAAATATTTAATACCAATAACATTAGAGATCAACACTACTTACAAGCGATCTTTTGACTACATATTAATGCTATATATGAAATTTGATGTTACTATATATCAGCAAAATAGGAAAACAATATATATATATTTACAATAATTTCTTCTATAGTAGTCAAGTGTCTGGCTAATAAAATTAAAGTTTTGTTCAAAAATATCAATAATAATTTAAAGAAAACTAAGCTTTTTAAATGTTTAAAAAAACTATAAATATTTTTGTATATTAGCAATAATTAATAATAAAAGATGCTATCTATATTTTTAGCAGTTAACTTAAAAAAAAATTTTTTTTAATATAGTAATAAATAGGATTTTGTAATTTGATTTAATTTGATTTGATTTAATTTGATTTGATTTAATTTAGTTTGATTTAATCTAATATTTAAGTTCAAATAAAATTCAAATCTAAAATTTTAAATTCAAAGATAATCAAATTTAATTTGATTTAACAAATATTTAATTTTATTTGAAATTTATAATTGAACATTCAAAATTATAAATTATTTACTTAAAGTTTATTAAAACAATTAACTTTCTTATTTTATAAAATTAAAAATATTTTGTTTAATAAAATATTTTTATTTAAAAGCTTAAAATTAATTAATATAATAAAAACTTTTATAAAGTATGATGACTTAGTGAGTAAATAGGTTGTTAACCCTCAAGTAACAGGTCTAGAGTTCAAATTCCAATAGCAAAAATTTGCAATTCTTTCTGTATTACAGTTAACTGTCTTTTGTAATTAGTTAAAATAAGACACTTGTAACTTATATTATACTAGCATGACTAAAAAGTCTAAACATTCATACAATGTTATATGAAGGAATATAAACTAGTATCAGGTGGTGTAAACCCAAGATAAGTTCTTAGATAATGTAAATCACAGAAATTAGGTAGAAAGACAGAAGCTTACTTGGAAGACCCAAGTAGAAAGATAATCTGAATCTTCAATAGTGCTACTATAAAGACTAGATCTATAAAATGGAACTAGAACTTGTAAAATTAGGCAAAGAACCAGCCTTTAAAGAGAGCTAAATAGAACTAACTAGGCTGATGGAATCTGTTCTAGAAGAAAAAGTTACATGCCAGAAAACATGTAAATCAGAAATGTATAGTTATAATCTGCCTTTTTAAACTATCTGGTTTGGAAGCTTGGTAGAACTTAAATTGAATACCAAAATAATAGAGATATGTTGTGAAGTTAATATAAAGGTTAGAATAAACTCTATAAGGGCATAGCAGTTTAATGATACATCATGACTGCTAGTATTAGTTTTGGCCATAGCAATATCAAGTTAATTGTAAGAATAGGATACAGAAGATTCTAGAAGGTTTAGTACAAGATCAAAGGTTTCTCATATAAGTGAACTGCTTTAAAGACTTAGTAATCATAACACATTTTTACTGGCATCAGTCAGGATCATTAGTAGACAAAGGTAGATGAGTAGATACAAAAACTAAAGTAGTTAAATAGAAAACCTACAGGCAGGTTTTAGGTATGACAACTAGTATAGAACCTTTAGGCAGACTACTTAAATTAAATAATGACTAAAGTTATATAAATGACTAGTTGTATACTCTTTCTATAATTGCCTTCTATGATTGTAATATAACCATTAATCAAATATATTATTAATAAAATCCTAGGTCACAAGTACTTATCTTAATATTAAAAAAAAAAAAAAAGTAAAAATTTTTATATATTAAGTTTTTTTTTATTAATCAAAATTTAAAATTTTTTTAAATTAAATCAAATTCAAATATTTAAATCAAATATGTATTTAATCAAATCAAAAAATCAAAAGTATATTTAATTTGACTAAATTCAAATTAATCCAATATTTGATTTAATTTAAATTTGAAAAACCCTAATAATAAATAATAAATTATTAACTAACTATTAATTTTTTAACTTATAATTTATAATATTATACAATTTCTAAAAACTATATATTTGAAAATAACTACTCTAAATTTAAATTACAAATTATATGTTTGAGTCTTTATTTTTCATATATAATTTAAAAACAAACTTTTTTTATAAAAATTTCAATTGAATTTCAATAAAATTAAAAACATAATCTTATCTTTAATATTTTTTTTAAAAAAAAACTACCCAATATAAGTTTGCAATTATATAATAATTGACAAAAATTATCCAATTGATATTTATGATAAGAAATTACTATCAGTGTATTAATAAAAAATTTTTCTTAAATGATTTTACTATTATAACTCTTAAAATTTTAATCTAAAGAATTTTTATTAATAACATATAACTGCAAAATTTTGTTAACAATCCTAAATGAAAATCCTTAAAATATACCTAAGATTAAAGGCTTGCAAATTGCCTATTTTTAAGACCCAACCCAACTTGCATTTATGGTTAAAATTTTTTTTTGATCCAACTCAACCCATATTTAGAATTAACATTTTTTTGCCAACCTGGCCTGGCCCGCATATATTAAATTTTTTCTTCAACCCAGCCTAACCCAACCTAATCCAACCCAGCTTGCAAAAATTTCTTATATAATTTTACAAAATTTTAAGCTCACACTGGTCCATAATTATAAAGATTGCAAATTTTTTGGCCCAGCCTGACCCACAATTATAAAATTTTGCTTCAGGCCCGGCCCGGGTTGCAGGACCCAATGCAGGCTTCTACCCAGAGTAAAGGTTATTATCCTGTGTCTCAATTTTAGTTTTTAGGGTTAGGGTTAGGGTTAGTTGGCACGTGACGACTATTTTAAATTTAATTTATTTTTTTTTGGTCATAGGTTAAGAGCCTATACCCCGGGTACATTTTAAGAACGCCCATCCTGGGTAAGAAGTTTGAAATGTTGCAGTCACAAGATAATCTTCAGAAAATTGACCAATAGTGAATTACAATTTGGTATAACGTTGCACGATGCATTAATAACAAGTTTTCTTTGCACGATTTACTATATAAGCCCATGAATTTTTATCGATTATCACGTGACCGCGACATTTTTAAGACGATACTGAGGAAGATGCCAATTAGTATGTTAAATCCTAAAACTGATACAAAAGCTGTCCACCATGCATACCGGATTTGAGAAGTTAACTGTATTCAAAATTTTTAACATATTAAATGGGGTTTTCACAGTAAAATCGTGCTTAAAGTATATGAAGGTTATTTTTTGTTGTTGTAAGAGTTTAATCTCTGGGCAGTCTATGTGCTTTAAACACGGTTTTGCTGTGAAAGAACCCAAATGGTTGTCAGAATATCGAAATTTTGGGGAAAATCATCATAGACCTCCAAATATGCACGTATTACAAGCGGACCCTTTCAGCTCTAAATACTGATAACGCATGCAAAATAACTTTAGATGCACATCCCTAAAAATGCACGCTTACGGTCAGTCCCAAGGGATACATATATGGAGGTCTGACTGTGCAAAATAACGTATCGTAAAGTAATGTTAATAAACTTTATCTATCAAACAAAGAACATCAAATGTACTATCTATTTAATACAACAATCCAGATTAACACTACACTCAAATTAAACATGATTGAAAAAATGGATGTCTATAAAATTTAACGCGAGACAAATATTCTAATTTCTAGTAATTATGCATTATAGATTGTATTTACCGTTTAAATGAAGAGAATATACTTGATTGTTGGAATGCATTGGTTGGCTGTGTTTGATTTGTTGCAGGTATTCTCGAGATCGTTTGTGCTAACTCCCTCGGCGACATAGTTTCAGTAAGGGATAAAACAGGTACAGCTATTTTGAATAAAATTGGTTAATAAAATTATATAGACCTTATACAGTAAAAATATCCAATATTTAATAAAAGTACGGTGGTGTAATTTCGAATTTTGGCCTAATTTAAGCTTAATTCGGACCAAATTCGAAATAACACTCATGGGCGTTATCATGCGAAAATGCGGTAGGAACGATATTTTAGCAAATTCTTTTTACAGATTTGTTGCCTATTATCCAAGCTACAATTCTGTTAGAATTTGACTTATAATTTAAAATTTTATAACACTTTAAAGTTATATTTATCTAAACAAAAAATGGTCTATATGACTGATTGATCAACCAAAATTAAATTATGTCAAAATTGATCAATCACAATTGATTATGTAATCTTTACATTTGACATCCGGTACTGCACCTATCTTTTTAACATACCGTCTTTCAGCCGCGAATCCTGTCTATCAAAGGGGTTGATATTGTCTTGTAAAATATCACGTCGATAATTAAGATATTTTTGCCGTAGTTTTTCTACGCTTTCATGTAACAATGCAACTTTTCCTGTTATTGCCATAAAACTGCCGTGTTGATTGCGCATAGTTTCCATAAGTGCTACCAGATCTTGTTCTATAAAATTTTCAACAAAACCAATGAGAAATATTCAACATAATAAAACACGTGAAATTTCTATCGTTACCGTTTCCTCTACCATCAGCATTCTGATATAACCATGTAAAATGACGTTCTAATTCCTATAATTGTGATAAACACGTAAATTCAAAAAATGAGCATATTTAGTGACATATATTGGTAAACAAGAAGCTAACCTCGATGTATGAATCGTATTGTTGCAGTCGGTTCTCGAATGATACTATCAGGTCATAATAAAATCTTTGGATGATGAAGCAAATAAATTCAGATAAAGATCCTTTAAATTTTATGAATAAATTTATATGAATTAATCTTACTTGGAAAAAACATTGTCACCAATTTGCATGATCGCGTTGCTTAGTCCTTGTGATGCAGCGTCATAAAATCGACGAGCGTTGTCAACAAGTCCTATTTGAACATCAATTTCTGATAGCAAATCGTTTACGAGGCGATGATCGCTTTGCAAATCATTAGTCAATTGGGCCAATTTCTACACAACATACGAACATACGTTGTTAGATAAATAGATATAAACTAACAAGTACAATAACGATTACGGTTGAATACCTGAAATAATATTCGCGATTCGTTAAATACGTCGAGTATTTGTTGTTTGACACTTGGTAAAATCATAGAACCAATGGACGACATCAGCCGTTTCTGTTGTTGTATATGATTGCTATTAAACAAAATATATGAAAAATTAACTGTATGATTATCTCAAAATAAACAATCTCAAAATAACCAGTCTCAAAATAACCAGTGGTTCGAAAGAAATATTTTTAACATACTCCAAAGTTGCAAGAAACTTTTGGCTTTCTGGTGGTAAGTCAGAAAATCTGGTTGCTTTCGTGATGTTCATAATGTTAATTTGGCTGATAATAGATAACCGTTAATTGTGATTAATATACTTTTAATCAAATTTGGTGTTTATAAAACGAAGGTTCTGTCATTTACGCATTAGTTCCTGATCCAGCAGACGTTGAAGGTACTTGTGTACTTATGCCACCAAAGCTTGGAAACGATGGTTGGGTGGCAGCAGGTGTTCCTGTTGTCGCTGTCCAGTTAAATGGAGTTTTCAAAGTGGTAGTCCTATACATGGGTGTCTAATTTATTTTGCTCTTGGCGTAAATCTAGACTGCCGAAATTATATTTGATTGTCTAAAGCGTAAATAATTTAGTCTGTCGATATGATATTAATATGGCGAAAATATTTTACTATGCCGAACTTATTTTCGACGAAAATATTTTTGTGGAAAATATTTAAAATCAATTAGATCTTTCAAAGTTCAAGCAATTTTCATTACTTCCAATTTTACGTAGCTCGATTTTGGTTGGCAAAATTTACCACGTTAAGGTGATCATCAAACTAATCAAATATGAATTTACTGCGGATAATAGTACTTTCGGTACACTTTTCTTTTGAACTAACATAACAACCGCTACATAGTCAATTTTTTGTGAGACATATTAAAATCCCATAAACAGAGATTTGTTATCAAAAAGAGAAATAAAAGCTACGTAAGTATAATTTAATCGCAAAGTTAATTGGAGGAACCGTCAATGTTATACAGCTGATCCTTTCACCCGGTGTGCAACATATAAAAAAATTACTTTACAATACTGCCCCACACCATTTTTATGATCTGGGTATTGTAAAATAATTTTATGTTTTCTCGACAACTAAATAAAAATAAACACAAAAAGATATAGTAAATTTACTGTCTGTTTTCGAATCTTTAACTTGTAAAAAAAGAATAATAAAAACTAATTAATTAAACAAAAGTCTACCTGAAGCTTTGAAATACTTTCAAATTTAAAAAAAAATCTAAAAAATAATAATATTTTAGTAAGTTAGAATATCACTAAATCTTTATACTGATAAAAATTTGATCTTTGTAAATCGATTAATGTAGCAAACATAGTTTTGATTATTTAGTTGATGCTTCACCCTATTATACTAAGTACGATCTTTAAAACAATAGATGTATCAAGTTTTTTTTCCTAGAAGCTTTGGTTATTTAGGATTTTCTAGTTATATCAGTAGAAAATGTATTCAAACCAGTTCAAATGATACGATAAAAATAGAGAATGGTCAAAGATTAGAAGCAGCAATAAAGTATTGTAGCGATCTCGTTAGGTGTGATATTCGTTTATTCTTATGGCTTCATTATACTTTTTTATCAAATAATATATACGCCTTTTACGATATTCTCTTTAGGAAGCATGATCCGGAGAATTACCTTGTGTCGATGTTTTATCCAAAACATCTTCGAAAGATTTATTACGCGATACGTGCTTTTAATCTTGAATTAATAATGGTTCGCGATTCAGTTAGTAGTCCTCAAATTGGAAAGATAAGGATGCAATTTTGGCGTGATACCATTGATAATGTGTTTAAGGTTTGTCTTTCCACATTTTTATTAATTATTTCACCAAATATAACGGCTTTACTAAATCACACCAATAATGTTTAAGCACCATTGGCGTGATTTAAACGATTGAAATATAATGTATTATTGTTTTTGTATTAGGGTAAGCCACCTCAACAACCAATTGCACAAGTCTTATTCAATGCTTTAGAAACTTGCCGATTGTCGCCTCTATTTTTTAAAAGAGTAATTGATGAAAGGGTTAGTATTCAATAATCGGACCGTTTCTTTAAACAATAAACAATTCACTACTGTTTAATGACTTTTAGGAAGCAATTCTAGATGATTTACCGTATTTCGCTACTAAAGATCTTGAATCATATGGTGAAAATACTGCGTCATGTCTTCTATATTTACATCTTGAATCTTTAAATGTTAAGGATATGCAGGCAGACCATGTTGCAAGCCATATTGGAAAAGCTATTGGAATTGTGACTATTCTAAGAGCATTTCCTTATCTTGCTAGTAAAAGAAGGATGCTATTATCTACTGAAATCCTTGCAAAGGTATTCTTATTACGAATTTGGTTAAACCATTTATCATAATGTATATAAATTCAACTTTGTCGTTCTAGCATAACATTTCACAAGAAGAAATATTTAGGTCAGGTTCCGTTAAAGGGTTAGATGATGCTGTTTTTGAAGTAGCCACGTTGGCTCACGATCATTTACTTACTGCTCGATCATTTTTGCCAGATATACCTGGTCAAGCTTTGCCTGCTTTATTATCAGCCGTGAGCAAATATTCTATTAATATATATTATTGAAATATTGTTTAGTTAAAGTTAAAACGTTTCAACCTTTTTGAATAGGTGCCTTGCGATTTATACCTGAAGAGATTGGAAAAATATAATTTTAATGTATTTGAACCAAAAGTAAATAGGAAAGATTGGAGATTGCCTATTCAATTATGGCATAGATATAGAAAAAGAAGTTTCTGACTATATATTTCAATTCAAATTTGGAGTGTTGATTACATCTTTTATGATTGATTAGATGTTTCTGAACATTTCTGTTACACCAAAATGATGTAATGTCACATGCTAATTGGCTAATCAGATCATGGTTTTGGCAAATAAAAAAATTAGTTATATTGTAGTAATGTATATTATAAATACTTATTAAAGGTAAAAATACAAATTGTAAATTATATATAAAACTTATGGTATTTATTTTTTTTTAAAACATTGGTAATTTGATTTTTTTTTTTTTTTTTTTTTCTTAGGCAGTCATGCTAGTACTTTATTAATATTCTAGTAATTACTACAATTACATTGATGTTTAACAACTAAGTCTAGCATCACCTGGTCACCCTAATGGTGTTTAAGTGCAGACCTGCCACATTACTTCAAGCAGAAGTAAACGGCTTATTAGACTACTTAAAGTTCATAATGAAAGGGTCTTTCTCCTTTCATGACAAGCTTTAATATTGTTTTTCTAACTTCATCTTTGATTCGTTTTTTTCTCTCTTTTAATTATTAAGCAAAAGGATTCTATAATCCTTGCCTAAAGAACAACAGGATATACGAAAGAAAAACTAAAAAAAAGTAAAAAAAAAGAAGAGACTAATTATAAAACCTAAACATAAATCAAAAAAAAAAAAAAAAAGATAATAAAAAGAAAAACAAAAAAAAAACAAAAAAAAACATGAAGACATTGTTTTTGCCTATGCTTGGCTTTAAAAATTCTATATAATACTAAATAAAGAATACCTCATATTTATTTTATCTTCGTATTATAATATATTCTATTTGTTACATAGGGAGAATGGTCGAAGTTTTTATTTTTCTCTTGAGTTTGACACATGTCTTTCATCATAGGTCTGATACTCATATCATAATTTTCTCATGACTAATGTTACCGATTTAGAAAAGTAAACAGTGTCAATTCTTTGGAGGGGTATGTCAAATTTCTTACTTTTTGGTAAAAATTTCAAGAGAAAAATTCAATAGTAAGAGTAGAAGGAAAAACCAACTTGAAAAGGAGTTATAAGAGTTATGCTATATAGAATATTATATTAAACCAAGTAACTATTTAGACCTAAGTCCTCATAGTACTTAACAAAGCTTCAGAGCTTATCTACTACTTTTTTGCTTAGTAGTACTTGTGTTTTACCAAGAGACTTCACTTACAAGGGTTCAAATCTTTTTCAGCTCTTTTTAGTTACAACCAAGTATACAGTGAATAGTCTCTCTAGTTAACCTAAAGTAGAGTTTTATTATATTTAAATATAATAACTATATAGTTTTCATAAGTCAGACTTTTGGAAAAAATTGATGTGAGAGATCATTGGAAAGAATATATTTTTTTTTAAACAATTATATTAGTACTTTTATTAAGGATAAAAATATAAATTTTTTTTTTTAAATATTAAAGTGAGTACTTGTAATTTAGAATTTTATTTATAATATATTCAAATTACAATTACAAAAAGTAATTATAAAAAGAATATACAATTAGTTATTTGTACATTTTAGTTATTATTTTATTTAAGTAGTTTATTTAAAAGTTTTACATTAGTTGTTATATTTAAAACTTGCTTATAAGTTTTTTATTTAAATATTTTAGTTTTTATATTTACTTATTTATTTATATTTATCAAGCTGTTTCAATTATTACTAGTACAAATATATCAGAATTATTAAGTTTTTAATGAAGTTTACTTATATAAAAAACTTTAATTTTATTATTAACTCTTCTAAAATTTTTTGTATTCTATTTTTATAGTTGATTTTGTAATATTATAATCAAAACTAATACTTGTAATTAAAGTTAATTATTAAATTATTTTTTTATAAAATTTATTTAATTTTTTTTTTTTTAAGTTTAAGTAGTTACACTAGTACTTTATTAAGATTCTTAAAATTACTCTTGCAATTATATAAATTTATCTAACAACTAAGTCTAGCATTATCTGACTACTTTAAAGATATCTAAATGCAACATGTTACATTACTTCAAACAAAAGTAAGCTGCTTGTCTAACTACTTAAAGTCTATATGAAAAGGTTTTCTCTCTTTTATAATAAACTTCAATATTGTTTTCCTAGTTTTTTCTTTGATTTTCTTCTTTTATTCTTTTGCTTGCTTTTTTTTTTTAATTTTTTGCTAATTTGCATTTTCTTTTTTCTTCAAGTTCTTTTTTTTTACTTCTTTTCTTTTATTTTGCTTGTTATATCTTTTTTTTCTTTTATTTATTAACTTTTTTATATTTTATTTTTTAAACTTGTTTATAGAAAGTATTCTATACTGTCTTTGTTACTGTATCTACAAATTGCTGTCTTGTCTTTATCTTAGAAGTTGTGCTAATTTGTCTTATATCTTTTTTGAAATTAGATTTTTAATTAATACTTTTTTTATTTCTACTTCTTCTGCTTCTACTTTTTCAAAAAATGCTATATATAGTATATATGAAGAAATACAAGTTCTTTCTTTTTCTTTTAGTCTTTTCTAGACTGTCACAATAGTTATTTTTTGAATTTATTTTTAGAGATTTATTTATCTCTTGTATAATGCCAAGTATGACTGTATTTCTTTAACTTTATTTTAACATATTTGATACTCTGTTATTATATATATAACTAGTCTTCTTTTGTTAAGAAAAATGTTAAAAATCAAGTAATTTTTTAGAAGAAAAAATATTAAAAAAGTTAAAAATATATATAAAGAACCTGGTTATTTATATATTAAGAAAAGAAAGAGAGAGCAGATCTTTGGTAAAAAATAATCAGATAATTAATAATATAATTCTAAATTCTTTTAAGATTAGAAGTTTATCTATTATATATTTTATAAATGCATATCTTTTTGTATTACTTTTCTTATTATACAATATATTTCTTTAGTTGTTTTTAGTTTTTTTCAAAATTATATTCAGTCATAAATTATGATTTCTGTTTTTGGCTCTAACTTTTTAATTATTTTTGTTTTTTTTCATTCTATTTCTAATCTTGTATTTATTGCCAATTTGTATAACAGTCTTGTTAGTATATTAGTTCATCTGTTTTCCTACTTTAAACAATACTTTATCTTTTTACAACTAACTTTTTCTATTTGTATTACTTTTCTACTCATTGTTTTTTTTTTACAAAACTATTAGCTTTGTTATTTTACTTATTTTTGTTATGATTTTTTACTTTTATTAATTGAATCTATATCTTCTTCATATTAATAAGACCTACAATCTTTATTATATATATTATATTTTTTTTAAAAAAAATGTTTATTTTATCTATTTGCTTTAAACCTCTACTAATATTTTTTATTGCAATATTACTATTTGTATATATTTCTACTTGTTTTTTTTTTGGTATTATTAAGATTGCTGCTTATATTGTTACTAATTTTACTATTATTAATATTATCTATTCTTCTAATCCTAATGACATTTCTTCTTTTGATCACTCTTGCATCTCATTTATTTAAATTCATTCTAACATTATGTTTTTGTCTAGTATTTTTTCTCTGGTCTTTATATTTACTATATCGGCTGATTTGTGGAATTTGATAAATAGGAAAACCAATCTGTCATAGCTCTGGTCAAATTTGCAGATCATTTTACCAGATTTAAAGTCAAACAAATTCAAACTTGGTCAAATGATCTGCAAATTTGACCAGAGCTATGACAGATTGGTTTCTCTATTTATCAAATTCCACAAATCGGCCAATATGCTGCACTATCTATATATATAATATATTTGTTTTTGTTTCTATTTTTTTTTTCTTTTTAGCAAGCCATGCCTTAATATTTATTCAATATAATTAAAATACCAAGGTTTTTAAGTCTACTTTAACAACTAAAGAAGTTTCTGTATAAAAAATACTAAATATTCATATTAAAACTTAACTGGTTATTCTAATAATACCTATTCATAACCTACTATAAAGTAGATTTAATTTAACTTTAAAGACCAGATATTTCATCTTTTACTTATTAGTATTATTATATGAGTCTATCTAGCTTATCATGACTTCTTGCCTATATAGTTAAATATCACTATACTAATAATATTCTTTTGTATAACAAAAAGGAAAAATAAAAATACTATATATAAGAAATAGTATTATTCTACAATATATATTATATATATAAGATAATAAGACATAAAAAGAAAAAAAAAGAAGACAAATATTGCTCAAGCTACTATCTCTATCAAGCTAGAGATTTTTGTAAAAATTGTATAAAATATTAATACTACAAAGTATTCTATATCTCTAAGATAATAACCTCTATTTTAATACTAGAAGGTATCTAAATTTGCTTTTGATTATATTTGCTTTAATATATATAACATTGTTTATCATTGGATTGTTTTGTAAACATGTAGTTATTTACTAATTTGAATATAATATTGTTGATCTTTTTTTAAAGATAGGTTGAATTCCCACAAATAAGAAAAAAAGAAAATCTAAAGAACTAAAAAAGATGAATGCAAAAAACTAAAGAAAGTAAGTGAATATATAGGTATTTGTTCTAGTACAAATACTGTAGTATGTTTTTTTTTTATCTCTAAACTTCAAACTTTATCAAACTTCTTCTTTTCAACTTTAATACTTTGTAAGACAAACTTTTGGCTAAAATATTAAAGTTATTATCTATTATAGCTTTCTGCCTCTTATTGCCTAGAAGGTCTTATATGATTATATATCACATGCTTTTATTTAAAACTAATATTTTACTAGTTTTCTTAAATTTAGTGCTTGTTTTGTAAAAAAGTTTTTGCTTCAGTATTGGTTTTGATGATTAGCAGATTCTTGTTTCTATCTTTACTATTTCTTGATTAACATTCTTATTTAGTTTTTATTACTTAATTATTTCTATATTTAGCTTTTCTATTATTTAAAGTTCTTCAAGTTTTTGTTTACTATTTTTTAGCTTCTTTGTTTCTACTTTTTCTGTTAATTAGTTTATAACTAACTTAATATTGCTATTACTTTTCTCT